GCGTGGGAAGCCAAGGCAAGCTGATGATCCCAGGGTTTTAGGGTTTAGGGTTCGTATCTTGTGGAGTCACAAAGCTGTAGACCCTGGACAGATGTGTTCTGTACTGGGCGGTTTGGACATCGGGGTTGAGGAGCTTTGCCGAGGGCTATGGGATGTCTAGTGTACCGAGCATCCATGGGTTTAGAGGCACAATGTTTTCGTGAAGGAGTTTGGGTTTAGGGTTTAGGGTTTAGGGTTTGGGGTTTGGGGTTTAGGGTTTAGGGTTTAGGGTTTAGGGTTTAGGGGCTTCCGCCCAACGGCGAACAAAGCTCTGAGGCAGTTGCTTTCGAACTGCTGAGCAAACCTGCCTTGGTAGCCAAGTGGTACCGCGAGTCAAACCGGAAGTCTTTGCAGTGAGTGAGCCCTAAACCCTAAACCCTAAACCCTAAACCCTAAGCCCTAAGCCCTAAGCCCTAAACCCTAAACCCTAAACTCGCTGAACCCTAAATCCTCAATCTTCAACCTCAACCTCCCCAGGCTCTGAGCTTTTGCGCGGGGTGGGGGCAGTGTCAGCCACGGGTCTCCGGCTGATGAGTGTATCTGGACGGCATTAGGGTTTAGGGTTTAGGGTTTAGGGTTTAATTAGGGTTTAGGGTTTAGGGTTTAGGGTTTAGGGTTTAGGGTTTAGGGTTTAGGGTTTAGGGTTTAGGGACGGCAGTGGGAGGCTGGTGAGGTAGGGTTTAGGGTTTGGGGTTTTGGGTTTAGGGTTTGGGGTTTGGGGTTTAGGGTTGAGGGTTTAGGGTTGAGGGCTGAGGGCTTCTAGTGTTGCAGTTGCCTCCCTTGTTTCGGATGTCGGGTTTAGGAGAAGCAAGTCCTGAGGGTGAGACCCAAACGGATCTTGTTCACTGGCAAACCTTATGGCCTATCAAGGGGTTTAGGGTTTAAGGGTTTAGGGTTAAAGCGGAAAGAAGTCACAAGTCATGCTTCTGTCAGTGTGCGTCCCGCGTTGAAGCTTTTGTCAACAAACCTGAATCAGTAAACTCTAAGTCCTCAACCCTGGACCTTAACAGCGTAGACAAGAAATCGCAACGAGACACCCCCGAGTGAAGCCTCAAGTAATATACCTACAAGAGGTTTAAAAACGCTGTAAGCCTCAACCCGAATAAATGAGAACCGTGAAATCGGAAGAACTGAAAACTCTGAATCTCGAAACCCTGAACCCGAAGACCTTAAACCCTGTGTGCACAGCTGGCAACAGGCAGCCGATGTTGCCAACAATTGTCACCTGTGCAGGATACCCTCGTGGCTTATAGGATGTTGAAGTCACGGCTCAACCGGAAACCCTAAACTCTGGCCCTCTTGTTGGGCCTTCTGTTTTCTGGTATGTCCCGGTGAACATGTCCCGCTTAAGGGTTTACAGGGTTGAAAGGTAGGTGGGAACCGATGGCCGAGGGTTCCTAGGTAGGATAAGGATAAGGGGCCCTTAAACGGGAACCCTTCTTAACCCTCTTCTGGATCTCTTAAACTTGGACCTTATGTAGAGGGTCTATATCCCCAAGGGCCCCCCTAATCCTATCCCCTAAAAATGTCGGGGGGTGGCCCACGACTCGCTAAGGTCTCGCCACCGTCCTTTTGCCAATGACATCCGAAATCCCATTGATACGAGACTCAACCTAATTCGTGCTGTTAACAAAAGGCATGCGCTCACGATTCAGCTTTTCAGAGCTTTGGCCGGGGTTCTTGTTGAGGAGCGTAGACTCAGTGAAGTACCACTCGAAGGGCTCTGCATAGAAAATGATGTCTGGTACTCTAGTTTATGCATCAGAACAAGGGTCACACCGCAAATGACAGAGTTCCAGTATGATAGCTGGCTCCAGCTTCTTCTGGCTGATTCTTAGTAGGGGAATGAGGGAATGAGGTACCCTTATAGAGTCCCTTAAAGGGTATATATATATATATATATAGGGCCCGAATTCCCTCATTCACTACTAAGAACCAGAGGTTCTTCAGAAGAACCCAGAAAGCCTCAACTCTCGTGCAAACACCGGGCTCGCGGGCTTTCGAGGCTCCAACTCCAACAGGGCACGCGTCGCATTGAACGCGTGCCCAAGCCCGCCCTAAGCCCCTAACCCTCTAAGCCTAAGCCCTAAGCCCTAAGCCCTAAGCCCTAAGCCCTAAACCCTAAACCCTAAATCCTAAACCCTAAACCCTAAACCGCCGGGGCAGAGGCACCCCTAGTCTGACCCACAGAGAATGGGTCGACCCAAATTCAAGGAATCAGGGATTCAGAGGGTTTAGGGTCTTGGGGTTTGGCCCCAACCCTTCAATCCCTCAACCCTAAACCTGAGGCACTCCCGCCTAAACCCTGAACCCTAAACCCTAAAACCTAAAAAGCGCGCCGCCCCCTCCTCCGCCCCCCTAAACCCTAAACCCTAAGCCCTAAACCCTAAGCCCTAAGCCCTAAGCCCGAAGCCCTAAGCCCTAAGCCCTAAGCCCTAAGCCCTAAGCCCTAAGCCCTAAGCCCTAAACCCTAGGCCCTAAGCCCTAAACCTACAACCCTAACCGCCTAAACCCCTAAACCCCTAAACCCCTAAACCCCTAAACCCCTAAACCCCTAAAACCGGCGCCGTGGGCTCGTGGTTGGGCTCGAGTCGCTTTGTAGTTAATTTAGGGTACCAGGGTTCGGCCCCACTTCTACGGTATCGGCTGTAGGCTCTGTAGATTTGTAAGGTCTATCGAGGGTCTAGGGTCCAGGTTTTTCCACAAGACAGGGGCGCATTGAGATGAGGGGAAGGACAAAAGGGATGACATTGGCTTAGAACTTGTCGGGTTTAGGGTTTGGGGTTTAGGCTTTAGGGTTTGGGGTTTAGGGTTTAGGGTTTAGGGTTTAGGGCTTGGCTTAGGGGTTTAGGGGTGTGTAGGTCCTTCGTTTCTCTACGGCCCCCCGCGAGCGGGATGACTTCCGCAAAGGATGGGAGGTCGGAGCGGCATGTTGTCCCAACCTTTTGCCCCCAACTTTCAATCCCTAAGCCCTGAGCCCTTCAGCCTAAACCCTAAACCCGAAACCCTAAACCCCAAACCCTAAACCCTAAACCCTAACCCCTAAACCCTAAACCCTAAACCCTAAACCATTTTTTAAATTTTTGGGCTTAGGTTCCCTTAGCAGCCCCTTGATACCAAAAAAGGGGCCCCCTTTGCTCTTCCCAGGTTTCGCTTGGGTCGCGGACATGGGTTTAGGGTTTAGGGTTTAGGGTTTAGGGTTAGGGTTTAGGGTTTAGGCTTTAGGGTTTAGGGTTTAGGCTTTAGGGTTTAGGGTTTAGGGTTGAGGGTTTAGGGTTTAGGGTTTAGGGTTTAAGCTGAGCCCGGGGATGTGTTGGCATGCCCAGCCTATCGCAGCAGCAAGAACGCCAATCACTGCATGCTTGTCGTGGGTCGAACCCTAAACCCTAAACCCTAAACCCTAAACCCTAAACCCTAAACCCTAAACCCTAAACCCTAAACCCTAAACCCTAAACCCTAAACCCTAAGCCCTAAGCGCTAAGCCCTAAGCCCTAAACCCTAAACCCTCAACCCTCAGCCCTCAACCCTAAACCCTAACCCTAAACCACCCTAAACCCTAAACCCTGGACCACCCTAAACCACCCTAAACCACCCTAAACCACCCTAAACCACCCTAAACCACCCTAACCCACCCTAAACCCTAAACCCTAAGCCCTAAACCCTAAACCCCAAACCCTAACATCTAAACCCCAAACCCTAGGTATTTGGGGTGCCTAAGGGTGCTGCCCATGTGCCTCCTAGGAGAACCCAGGGGCTACTAGAGGGTTTAGGGTTTAGGTTTTAGGGTTTAGGGTTTAGGGCAATTCTGAGGCTAATTTCATGGGCCCTGAATATGGTCCCTTACCTCCCTTATAGGGTTCTGAATTGTGGGCCCCTTATTTTGTGTAGGGTCTACGAGGGGTATATAAGGGGTCCCCTTTTAGGGGCCCATACAAAGGGACCATGAGACTAGGTGCGCGGCGCACATCTCGCCGTGCGTTTTCGTGCAGAGATTGAAAATTAAGATGGCTGGAATTTGCTAAACATGGTGCTATTTACAAGGTACTCGGCGTCCTGAGAGGTGGGAGCCGGTTATGAACGGCACTCTAAGGGGGAAACACGTATTTTGGTGTTTTCGCCTAGGGAATTCACTCCTTTTAAAGAGTTCTGAAATGCCTAAAACTACTTTCCGTTTTCAAGGATTTTAGGGCTTTCAGGGGTTTAGAGTTTAGGGGCTTAGGGATGTTTTAAGGTGTAGGGCTTGCTATTATATTATATATTATGCATTATATATTATATATTACAGATTATATATTATATGTGATATTATATTATATATTATCTTATATTATATTAGATGATACTATATTATACAACAGATTTTATTATGTTATATTATATTATATGATATTTTAGTATATTTCATATGTCCAAAACAAGTACATCAATAAAAAAAACACGAAAATCTGACCACGGGACCGGGAAACCACGGGACCAGAGGACGAGAGGACCACGGGACCAGAGCACCAGAGGACCGTAGGACCAGAGGACCAAGGGACCAGAAGGCGAAGCGACCAGAGGTCCAGAGGACCAGGGGACCAGAGGACCAAGGGACCAGAGGACCAGGGGACCAGAGGACAGGGGACCAGGTGACCAGAAGGCCTGGGGCCAACGTTACCAAGGCCACCAAGCCAGGGCCAACGTTAGGAGAAAAAAAAAACACCGGGCCCTGCAAACTGGAGCACTAAAAGACTGAGGACATGCTGGCAAGTTGCAATAGGGGGGCGGAATTATCCCCCCTCCCCCCCCCCTCCCCCACCCACCCCACCCAAGAAACCACGCGGCGAGATACGCGCCGCGCTCCAACTACCCTAAGCTCATTCCGAGCTCTACCAAAGGCTTCGGGTTTTAGGGTTTTAGGGTTTAGGGTTTAGGGGTTTCAGGTTTAGGGTTTAGGGGGTTTAGGGGGTTTAGGGTTTAGG